AAGGACAATACCTAGAGAGATAGTCCGAGATACTATAAGAGCTCCGAGTACAAGATCCAATACTATGTACCAAAAAGAAAAGGACAATACCTAGACGAGGAGGAGGAGAGTGGAGGAGGACGAGGAGGAAGGGGACGATGTGGAGGGGGAGGAAGTGAGTTCGAGGGAGGGCAGGAGGGCTGGTGAAGACTCACCTTGGAGGAGGGTTGAAGTCGGCGATGGTCGCTCCAGAGCTCAGCCTCAGTGATGATGCAAATGCAGGGGCAGATCAGCACTGCTTGTAGGAGGGGAGGCTGATGAGAGGTGGAGGAGGAAGTGACGAGGAGGAGAGATGGAGGAGGGGACGAGGAGGAGGCGAAGGTGACAAGGAGCTAGTTCGAGATACTATCAAAGCTCCGAGTACAAGATCTGATACTGTGTAAAGGAGGAAGTGACGAGGAGGAGAGATGGAGAGTGGAGGAGGACGAGGAGGAAGGGGAAGATGTGGAGGGGGAGGAGGTGAGTTCGAGGGAGGGCAGGAGGGCTGGTGAAGACTCACCTTGGAGGAGGGTTGAATCTAGGAGGGGAGGCTGATGAGAGGTGAAGGAGGAAGTGACAAGGAGGAGAGATGGAGGAGGGGACGAGGAGAAGGCGAAGGTGACAAGGAGATAGTTCGAGATAAGCTCCGAGCACAAGATCCGATACTATGTAAAGGAGGAAGTGACGAGGAGGAGGAGAGATGGAGAGTGGAGGAGGACGAGGAGGAAGGGGAAGATGTGGAGGGGGAGGAGGTGATGCAAATGCAGGGGCAGATCGGCGCTGCTTGTAGGAGGGGAGGCTGATGAGAGGTGAAGGAGGAAGTGACGAGGCGGAGGAGCGATGGAGGAGGGGGCGAGGAGGCGGCGAAGGTGACAAGGAGATAGTCCGAGATAGTATCAAAGCTCCAAGTACAAGATCCAATACTATTTAAAAAAAAAGAAAAGGACAATACCGAGACGAGGAGGAGGAGAGTGGAGCAGGAGGAGGAGGAGGAGAAGGAGGAGGAAGCGGAAGATGTGGAGGAAGAGGAGGAGGAGGAGGGGGAGGAGGTAAGTTTGAGGGAGGGCAGGAGGGGAGTTCGAGGGAGGGCAGGAGGGCTGCTGAAGACTCACCTTGGAGGAGGGTTGAAGTCGGCGATGGTCGCTCCAGAGCTCAGCCTCGGTGATGATGCAAATGCAGGGGGAGGTCAGCACTGCCCGTAGCGGGGGACTGACTGCACTGCTTCCCAGAGTGGAGCGGAGGCGGCTGCGCAATCAGACTTGTCTTGAACTCACTCAGCATGCGTGCAAACAGATGACCATCAAATCTGAACGTAGCCAGGAACACAGTTCAGATTCAAGCTTGTCTGAAATGGCTATGGCGCAGTGCGCCAGACAACGATTCCCACCCGATCAACTGTATCCGCCAGCAACTTACTCACACACACGCATGCACTTTTGGATCACCCTGGATGTCCCGCACACATTCACTCTCACACATATATACACACACCCTTGCTATCCTAACTGGGAGCTATGGCTGCTGTCTAACCCTCTACACTAACTCACGGCTATGGCCACGTCTTCCTCCTCTTAGCCCTCTTCCTCTCCGGGCACCTGCAGACCTCCGTAGCACAAGATACACAGACAGCGCTTCCGCACGGCTCACAGGCAGAATGAATGAATGGCTTGACGCTGCCTTTTTATTTATACTTCGGATCGACGTAGGTCTGCCCTTGGACCCTGGGCCCGGGGTACACACTCAGTCCCACTTGGTACTTGCTGACTGGACAAAGTGTGACCTGGGACTGTGTACCGCTGACTGGGATAGGTAGGACTGGGACTGCCCCTTGCTGACTCAGCTGCTGACTGACCCCTACGGTCTCCGAAGAGTCAGTCCTACTGCTTCTAGAAGGTCCCGGTGTTGACCTTTCAGCACTGTAGCAGCTACGACTTATACTAACCCACTGACTGCTAATCCTAAGGTCTACGGGTCAAACTCCTACGACCACACTATGTACAGCAACCAAACATGAGACTCTCAGAAAACAGGTCGAGGGTTCAAACAGACGGGTCAACAGGTTTTGTACATGGGTAAATGTGAGGTCCAGGGATCGAGCCCTGGGTACTGCATCTCCCACCGTAATAGGTGAAAACCGTTTCAGCTGCAACAACGAGGAGTAAACGGCCCGCCGAAGCCCTGCCAGTATCGACTTGCGAAAACCAGGAAACGCCCCCCCCCCCAACCAAATCGAAATTCGAAATCGTTTCAAGCGCGGCCCGCTAATCTTTTTTTGGGCCCCAAAACCATTTTTGGTGGGGGGCGTCCCAGGGACGAATCGACACCCGGGCTTTTTTTTTTTTTTTGAGTTTTGGCCAGGACGTTCGTGTGCCGCTCCGTTGGGCTGCGCTTGAGCGCCAACAGTCCGCAAATCAGCGCATGACGTGGACTTGCATGTATGTTACCAAGTGACGGGAGCCAATTCCAATCTTTCTTCTTTCAGTCTTCTTCCTCGATCGTGGTTGATAGTCTCTGAACTCTTTTTTACAAGGAAAGGTAACACCATATCTAACGAGAAAGTTGAGCTGCACCTCATCGACTGGTATCGTCCTGTATCGTTTCCATTACAAGCAGGTTTCAGTGGGGTTTTGAGGAAGAAAGCGATGAAAAGGGTCGGAACTCCCTTGTTTCTGCAAGAGACCGAAAGCGCAAGGGGGAGAGTGGGACTGTGGAGGAATCCAGTGAAGTAGCGCAGAATGTTCATAGGAAAACAGTTGGAACATCTGGTTGTGGACTCATTGCTGGCACCTCCGGAGCGCTTTTATCAGGGCTCCGCATTCTGCTCCGGGGAACGTCAAAATTCCGCAATCAACTTGAGCTTCTGATTCAGGTTCGTCTCATGACAGTAAGCAAGCAGGTTCCCCCTTACCTCTTTCCCAATCATCTTGCAACTGTGTGAACCCTGTGCTTGGCACTCATTGGGCTTGAAATACATATCCTGATGTTTGGCCCGCTCTGTTCGGTGTTCATTTTTTTTCAAGTGGGAATGCGGATTGTGATAAAGTAAATGCTCCAGTATCTCATCCAAGAGTCAATCTGAATCTGAATCTGAAGCTATGAACTTTCTCCATTTCCTTTGTGCATCGCCCTCTTTCCCCACGATGAGCAGGTGCCTCTGAAGTTCATTGTTTCTCTCTGCGACCTTACGTAAGCATGCCAGTGTGTGCTATAGCTACCCTGGTTTAGTCTAGTTGTACGTTGCTTGCAAACTGTGGAACTGTCGCAGTAGACAAACTTTCTCATATGAAAAGGGTGTGGCACACTTTTTCCCAAACAGATGTGTGAGGAAGCTCTGTGTCTTGGGTTCATTGTTTCTTTCTGCCATCATGACTACTAGGCAAGCTCATTTGTGTTGCGGCTACCATGGTCTCTGGTCTGATCTGTACCACCCTTGCAAACTCCCTCATTGTTTGAATACAGAACTAAACAACATCTCGAAGCGCCACAACCCATGTTCCAAAAGCTTGCTGTGGGTTCCTGAGGCTATTTTCCACAACCTGGTTGGCATCACTGCTTGCCATACTCGACAGCTATCTCATATAAAAAACTGCTATGCTTTTGCACTGCATGTCCTCAGAGGCTCAGCCACTACACGAACATGGGGAAGGTCGAACCGGGCAAAGAATAAGCTACCCTCAACTGTTTACAAACGAGTACACAACTCCAACCCCTCTGAAATAAGAGAAATGCGAACTCGTCTTGGCAAAACGTACAAGTGGTTGACTGCAGCTTTGCTTGTGACATGGGGGAAGAATGGCAGCCAAAGTACATGGTCAACGAGAGAGGTGTCAGAAGAAGTGGAAGGGGGCAAGGTGCAGGGAAAAGGCATGAAGCGAGAATCTAATCATGCTTGTCGTGGTTGCTATCAGTGTACACACAGTTGGTCTTATCAAGGAAATGCTTTCCGATTTTGACACGAAGTGTGTGATTTTTTGGTCGCAGAACGCGATCATAGCACTCGTACACGGGTTTTGGTCCTCGCCACACCACTCAGGGAACAGAAAACAGTGCAAGTGCATCTTACTGCAGAAGTTGGCAAAAAACATGCATTGCTATGCGCTTCGGGTTCACCAGCGGAGATACTTGGCTTGGGCTTCCTGGCTGGTTGTGGAAGTTGGTTAGGCTTTCCAGCTCATGCCAGGTGTTAGGAGCCGGGGTACTGCTCCCGGCATAGAGCAGAATAGGCTGGGAAGGCTGGAAACTCAACCCATAACATTGAGCATCCCCTGGAAAAAACTGGACATGTATGTATAGGTAGGTAGGTAGAGTGAGGTATATGAGTGAGAATATAGATTAGTTTTTAAGGAAGAGTAATGGACGAATCTGGCCACCTTCTGCAGGACGGTGCACTCACATTGTTTTTCATTCGTTAGTGATGTGGTGAGACCCTTTGTCCCACATTGTGATCATATACCCACAGGTTCTGACCATTGCATCTGTGTCATGGTCTGCATTTGCGTAGATTCTGCTTCGTCTTCTTCTTTTAAACCACCACTACCGCCTATCCTGTTTTTATCGACCCTGAATTTCACTGCGCACCGAGTTTTGCCGAGCCTGAGTCCCAATGCATTTTCTTTTCTGGTACTCACCAGAAATGAACAGCGGAAACAAAAGGAAAAAAAAAGAGCAACAAGGATATGGACGTGAAAGCAGTTGGATGCTGAATATGGGGTGCTTGTGAACTAAGCCCCCAGTGAGGGCATTATAGTGCCGTGGAGATCACGGCACTTCGTTTCCAAAATCACAAAAAGAAAAAAAAGGAAAATAAAAACAGCAACGCTATAGACGTGAAAGCAGTCGGATACAGAACTTGGAGTTCGTGTGAGAGCGTCCCCTCCTCAAGGCAGTTACAGTGGCAGGGTCATCACGACAGCTACTTCCGAAAACCAAAAAAAAAAATGCAACTACGATTTGGATGTTTTCACGGTTAGATACAGAATCTGGATGTGAGATGCTGCTGTCTGTGAAAGTGTCAGGAGTCCGTGCAAAGCGTCCTGCCTTGCTGGCAGGGGGACGAAACAAAACAAAAGCAGGAAAGAAAAATGAAGAAAACGAAAGGTGAAAGAAGTTGTAGAGGGCTGTTAGATTCGTTCCTCGATCATGGCCCTCCCCAATGTCGTTCCTTTCGTTACTTTCACTTTTTTTTTTTTTTTTTTTGCCTTTTCGAAGTGCGAGGCTCGATGCCTTGGTAAGCCCTATTTGGCCCTGTTTCAGCCAGAACGGCCGCTCTAAGTGAAGGTGGGCCTTGACAAATGACGTGAGGCCTCTGTTGGGTTTGACGCAACTGGGAAATTCAGGCAGTTGCACAGCGCCAGTTGCTTAAGTACGCCCAGGCCCTGCCTTCTTTTTTCCAAATGTATCTGAGCCAGGCCCTGGGTCGGACATGGGGCATGAACTGAACACAGGCCGCTGGCAGTTGGACAAGGGTAACCTCCCCAGGCCCTGTGCCTGATCCCCTTGGACTGGGGCTCAGCCACTTGGGGCTTACCGGAAGCTTCCGTGGGGAGGCCCAGGCTAGCCAGGCAGCCACGACTGGCAGCCGCATTCCATATTGGCAAGGGCCTGGCTGCGGGCTCGACATTCGGGCACTTGGTACATGCTGCGGCAGCGCTGCTGCACTATTTGCAGGCAAGCGCCCACGTGCTCACGGGCGAGCAAGGTACACGCAGGCAGCCATAGCCAAGCTGGCCTGCRAGATGCTGGATGGGGCGCATGGTGGTCCTTGGGTGCACGTGGCATCTGTGTGGGGGATCGAGGTTGTGAGTGAAGCGTGAGACATACCTGGTGCTTGAAGAGAACGGCATTGGCCGAGATCTGCTCGTACTCCGGAAGGCTGTTAACGCCACCAGTGGCATTGTAGATAGGCTAGATAGGATCTGCCATTCGTAGTCTGGGCGCTGAGCGCTCGATAGGGATTCACATTGGTTCATTGTTGATGATGATGAGACTATCCCAACATTGTCGCTTGTGAGCTTTTGCTGTGCTCTTATTTGGTGGAACTCAAGTTGCAATTCTGCTTTTGGTTCGAGGTCAAGACTATCTGGTTTCATGTGTATGATTCTGCTTGGTTTCTGGAATTTGCTATCGCTCATTTTCCGTGCACAAGCAGGCTGAGAAGGCCCAAACATTTTCTTTTAGCCGACCCTCTGCCCGGCCCCCGAAAAATGCGGTGTGATGTATATTCCCATTTTTCAAAACACTGAGAAAAGGTGTTGGTGGTTTAAGTCATCTTGCTCCATCATCCTCCATGTGGATTCGAACTCAGGTTTGTATTTCAACAGTTCATGGGGCTACCAACCGAGCTAGGCCTGTTGGCGCATTCACATAGATTCTGTTATGAAATCAAACTCGTCTTCTTGTCACTTTGTCATGCCTGCAAACAGCGGTACAGCAACTGGCGACATGCGCCCACACAGTACTCAAGATATCGTAACCAGATATGAGTTCTCTTCAACTGGCTATGGCGACTG